ATTCAGTTAGAAAGTTAGGTGTAGCACTTGTCTTTTGTTTGTTTTTGTTTCACTTAGGGTTTAGATAGCAGCTCCTTTTCTGAGTAAGCTTGTTTGTTTGTTATGTTGGCCTTTGTTCACCCCGCAGTTTAGCTTTCAGTGTAGTCACAATAAAACCACCTTTCATTTATAAATCGGCTTCTGGTTTTTGGGACCAGGGCGGGGTCATGTTCCTTACAAACCATATCTTGCCGACCATCTACAGATGCTTGGTGGTTGCAGCTTTCCTAGCGACCTTTTCATGGTTCCCATTTACCTGTCTCCAGTGTGAATGACATTACGATGTCATTGCTGTAAATCCAGGTGCTGTGGATCAGGGATTCAATGTCTTGTTCAGTCTTGGCACACAGCTTGATGCCATTCATGTACAGGAGGTGGCTGACAGTCTTGTTGATGATCTCACTGACAGGGCTCAGGCCTATGCAGAACAGCATTGGGGACAATGCTTCTCCTTGGTAGATCCCACAATTGATGCTAAAGGATCCCTTTGACTCGAACTGGCAGGCCCCAACACCCTTGGGCTCAACTACTCAGAGTGGCAAGCATGACAAGGCTACATGCTAGGCTAAAGACTAGAGCCACACGACCATCCCTGCCTAGACTTTTGTTAGCTAACATTCGCTCTCTTGAAAACAAGATCTGCCTTGGGTAAAAACAAAAGCGGCGGTGTATACACTTACATCAACAGCAGATGGTGTGTGGACACACAGGTGGTGGAGAAACACTGTTGTGGGGACATGGAAGTACCAATGGTGAAGTGCAGACTCTTTTATTGACCGACGGAGATCAATGCCGTATTTCTGCTGGCTGTTTACATCCCGCCGCAATCTGATTGGACCACAGTGCTAGGACTACAGCATGGCGTCATCAGCAAACACGAGACCGCTCATCCAGATGCTGTGTTTGTCGTTGCTGGGGACTTTAATCACTGCAACCTCGGGACTGTGCTCCCAAAATTCCATCAATACATGATCTTTACAACAAGGAAAAACAAAACCCTGGACCATGTCTACAGCATTGTAAAGGGTACATATAAAGCAGTGCCTCCCTGCATTTTGTCCCCACCAAGCGATACAAAACATGTCCAAACCAGAAACCCTGGTTGAACTGTGAGGTACGTTCCATGCTACATGCATGCTCCACTGCATTTGTCCCTGGTGATGCAGAGGGCTACACAAAGGCCAGATATGACCTGCATAGCGCCATCAGGGAAGCCAAGAGGCAGTACAGGCTCAAGCTGGAAGGACACTAAAACAACTCAGACTCAGACTACTTTATTTAGTAATAAAATAAATACGATAAATAGTGCAATAAGTAGAGTGCAACAACCTGAGTACTGATTTCTATCAGAGGAACACAGCTAGCTGCAACACACTACCGGTCAAGCTAAATGAGTTCTACGCTCACTTCAACACCATCAACACCAACCAACACAGAGGGATTCTACCAGCAGAGGCAGCACAGAGCTCTAACTGTCTGACTTCGACTGAGGTATGCTGAGGAAAACTAACCCCCGAAAAGCAGCCGGCCCTGACGACATCCTCGGCTTCACCAATGATTGTGTCCCCTCTGTCAGGAATCTCAGGAGAAAGATCTGTCATTTAAAAAAGATTTCATTTGGTTTGACAGCTGAAATTTCTTTTTTTTTTTTTTTGTTCGATACTTATCAAATGCTGCATTTATTTTTTATGCAAACAACACAGTTATCTGCTTTCATTCTCCTTAAGTGGTACAAAAACCCAAATTTGCAAATCCAAGTGCATGCTGTTTTTAAATGGCAGAGTTAATATCTTTTTTGTTTTTTTTAAATTAGTTTTTTCTGTTTTCACAAATAGTACATAATTACATAACATAATAAAGTGTAGAATTCAGAACCGAAAGTAAATTAAAAAACAAACAAACCAACAAAAACGAATAAAACAAAAACAAACAGACTGATAACTAAGCACAAGACACCAGCTCAGTTCCATCTAAAAATAAATAAATAAAGAGAGAATGCAATACAGTACCTGTGGTCCCAGTATTGCAGTTTGAACACTCAAGAGAATCCTTGTAACATAATATTAGAAACATCAGGTTCCACATAGTTCAAGTATGGTTCCCACACCTTAAAGAATTGACAGCTGAAATTTCAAGTTGACACAGCGCCGTGGACCTCTATGTGAATAGGCAGCATGCTTCACAGAAAGGGTCACACTGAATCAGGCAGTACAGGTTTTATACTACAAAAATAACTAACTAACTACAATATCTCAATCTGTCAAAGAAGCTTGCAAAGAAATGACGATGACCTGGATGACTGAGAACCTTCACAGACAATATCTCAATCTGTCATGCCGAACGAAGCTTCTGACATTCAAAAGTTTGAGTGCCAACTCATACAAGAAAATTTGCACTAAATGTATGAAAATGATTATAGCTGCTCATTTTAGTAAGATAAATCAAAAATTTTCAATCCTCACACCTCCCAAAATAAATTAAAGAAAGAAAATTTGGATTAACCTCCAAACTGCTGAGCAAGCTTTACAGATACACAGTGGAGAGTATCCTGACAAACTTCATCACAGTGTCGTACAGGAACTGCATTACTCAGGGCAGGAAGGCTCTCCAGCATGTTGTCAAAACGGCACACCACATCTGAGGAGTACCCCTACCACCACTACAGGACATTTACAACATTCAGTGAGGAAAAGGGCACACAACATCATCAAGGACAGCACCCACCCACAGTACACATTGTTCACATCTCTGCCATCTGGTAGACGCTACAGGAGTGTGAAAGCAAGGACAACCAGACTAAAAACCAGTTTCTATCCACAGGCCATCAGGCCACTGAATCACCGAATATGTCAAACTGTTTATCCATAACTGTAAATTTGCAATTTTGCACAATTCCACACAACGTAATACAACTGTAAATACCTATAACCTGTAAATTTGCAATGTATTGCTACATATATATCCTAATATTGCATATTCTGTGTATATTATCATTGCTCTGTCTCACCATTTGGGACACCAAGCGTACCCTGCTATGACAAAAGCAGTAAACAAAAAACAAGTCAGAAGAAAATGCACTTTTATTACTACTACTACTTCTATTAGTCATAATAATAATAATAGATCAACATATTGCTGGGAAGCTGTTATGTGTCTTAAGTGTTGTGATATTTTGATACCATGGTAGCATTTACAGGATATTGCTTTGTAGTGAAAACTGTTACTCAATAAGGCCCATTTACTAGTTGTTTTTCTCTTTCTCTCTGACCCAAGAATTGATGTGTAAGACTCACAGGCTGGTACCCCAAGGTCGAAAATACCACAGAGACGAGACCACTTCCTTACTCCCATCCTCCCTTCTTTATCTGTTAGAAAAAGGCTCGTTAAAGGCCAGGTGGTTTGTTTCAGAATTCACTAATGAAAGAACTCTGTATTCTATGTCTAGGAGTGTATTTTGCTGGGATGATCATAAATTGTAACTGAAGAGATAAACTACACAAAGGATACTTCTTTGCTCACAAGGCAGGAAGACGTTTCCTTATTTGGTCTGTACCGGTTTGAACTGAGAACTTGCTGACACACGAACCTTTTTTTCCTCTATATAAGCTGTTATGTACTAAATAAACCTTTGAGTTGATTTGGGAAGGCAACCTGAAGCAGTCTGTGTTTCCTTGTTCTCCCAAGCTGCTCCCGGCGCTGTAACTAACCCAGCTGAACGGCATACTTGAGTGTTACTTTGAATAATTAGGAATCTAATAAAGAAAGGACAGAACTCTGCTTATCGGTGCTCGTGCCTTGGAGGGAAACCGGGACGGAGATTTTCTCTTCATTATGTGTCTAATATTTACATCTTTTCTCTATTCTCCTTTTAGTACCAATTCAATTTTTAAAAGAAATCTTGTCTGCCACTTGTCAGTTTTTCCTGGCAGTTCAGGTCTACAGTTGCTCCTAAACTGCTGGTTAAGGCCAGATTTGCACATCAAATTCTTGTGAAACAAAGGTGCAGTTCATGATGATGGGTGTGACAGGTGTTGTTGATGTGGTGAATGTTTCAGTATAATACCAAGGAAATCGTCTTCCAAAGAAGTTTTCAGACTGGAAAAACTGGAAATCTCAGACAGCACAGTTTCTGTTGGTAGCACGCCTGTTTTTCTGTGAAGCAGTGCTGACGCCTCATTTCATAAAAGGTGTTTGGTTGGCATACACCCACATCTGTATGTGTGCAGTGCTTGAATCTGTGAATTCTGCTATCTTGAGAAAAGTTAAAACAATGACGTTCAAAGAATTAGACTTTTGGAAAAAAATCTTTTCCTTAATGAGTTTAATCCTTAAAATTGCTTAACTGTTGCCCTTTCTGGTCCCAGGGATCCAACAGACTATGGTCACATGAGTCTCTACCTTCATATTTCTAGCAATAAAACTAGTATGTGTAGGGGCTTTGCTTAGTGGGGAAAAAAGTTTGGTAACCTAAACAGGCTGGTGGTGTCCCAATGTCTTCTGTTTTGAACTCCCTCTTCACAGTCACCCAGCTGGCCTGAGTTTGTAGTCTTCAATGAAAGTTTTCAGACTTCATACACAAGAAGCCACAAACAGTAGAATTTTATGCACAGCACACGTGGTCTTTGTAAATCAGTAATAACAACATTTCATTTACCAAGGTTGAACTAAAACACAAACAATGGTGGTTTTGATAGGACAACTTGCTTGAGTCAAAGAAGTCAAAGACGTTTTCTCTCTGTTGGACAAAATAACAAGAATATTCAAGAAAATTCCACATGAAAATTAGGGCGAGGGACAGGAACATACAATAAAATCGATCACACGCTAAATTGTGTTTCACTTTAATCAGAGCCAATCAGCATTCTTGGAGGCGTGTTTTGGAGTGTGCTCCTATATAGGTTTCCAAGCATAACTTCTTAAGCAAGTAATACAAAGCTTGCGATACAAGAAGGGTTGGAAATGGCCACCAATGGTAAGACTTTGTCAAAATTATTTTGATGCTACATATTAATGTTGACGATTATGCTGAAAATTAAAATGCTGTCTCCTGCTGCTATGTGTTTAAAATAGCACAAAGAGCACAATTAAATTCAGTTGATGAATAGCTGCTCAATCTGAAAGTGATGTTGCAGAGGAGGACAAGACAGAAACATTAAGTATGGCCAGAAAGTTTGACTCACATATGCTGTTTATTAAATACATACAGAATGTCATCTGTTCTTTACCAGTTATGTCTGTGCATTATTTTTGATTTGGTAGAAAAGTTATCCAGAGCATAAAAGAAAAGATTTTAAGACCATAAAAATCTGTATTTAGAATAAAGTTGTTTTCCTCTAGTGTTATAGTTCATCTTTGTGTTCAAGGAGTGACTGTGCACACTTGCTGTTCAGTGCTCTTCAGTTACATTTCAGTTTCAGTTATAATGTTGTTTTCTTGCTGGTATTTGAGATAAACTGGTTATTAAAAAAGTGTCAAATGTGTATTATTCTACAAATTACTTTTGTGTTTTGCATCTTTTAATTCTGCTGCATTTTTATTTATACAGCCAATCTACAGACAATAAACAAAAACAGAAACTATTTGGTTGAAAACCTAAGCAAATCAACATTTAAGGATCTCCTGGATGACCTTCTGCAAGATAAAGTCCTGAGTGATGCAGAGAGAGATGAAATTCTTGAAACAACTCCAGTCACAAAAGATCGGGCCCGCAACCTTGTTGACGTGGTGAAGAGGAAAGGAGAGCAGGCAGTAAGTTGCTTTCTGGTTCATCTTGAAAAACGAGATGAGAATCTTTACAAGAACCTACCTGAACCGCCGAAAGGGAAGTCTACGCAGAAACCAACAGGTGAGTGTGACATTCTGGAAGTTCAACTTACACATGGCCAGCATCAGCAAATGACAAAGAAATATATATGTGAAGTTTTCATCGGTGGTCTAATATATGTTGTGCTGTGTTTTGGGCTCTCTAGGTGAAAGAAGATCATTCGCGAAGGACAGGCCCAAGCCTGATAACTTCTGAATATTCAATCCAAAGTGTAACTGCATGAATCAATTACCTCAATAACTTCTTTAAATGTGAGCAAGATGGGCAATTACCAGTGATAACTGTGCCATTTTCTGTAATCTAAATAGACATTAAAGTCAAATTCAAATGATCATGCCATATTTTTTCCTGAATCACAATTACTCTCCTCACAGCTTTCCATGTTTCCTTGAGAAGATGTAAATCCATGGAACAACGGGCCAGAAATTAAAAATAGCAGTACAGGAAAAAAAGTAAAGATGAAACACTAATTACTAAAAGTATAATATTTGGATAACCATGCAATCCCTGAGTAATAAAGTTGTAATTTCTGTGCACTACTAAATATTTTTAATACAGCAAACCCATGATAATACTGTTTACGATTTGCTATTACTATATTTATTTGCTGAAATACCTCATACTGATGCAATCATTAATCCTGTATGTTAAATAGGCTAAAATGTACAGGTTAACTTTGATGTTACTGTCAAAACATACAAAGATGCATCACATTAATAAAGGTCAACTAAGTAACTCAAGTTATTATTGGTGTATTTTGTCATAATATGAAAGAAGACATTAATCACATAATTTGTAAAGACATACACTAAATTGCCAAACGTGGTCAGTCATCCATCCTAATCACTGAATTCAGGTGTTACAATAACATCCATGACCATGGGATTATACAATCAGCACCCAGGCATACAAACTGTTTCTACAAATAGATTGTGAACTAATAGATTGGTCTCTGGAGCTCAGTGAAATAAAGCATGGTACCATGATAGGATGTTACCTGTGCAGCAAGTGCTGTCGTGACATTTCCCACTACTAAATAATCCACAGTCGGCTGCTAGTGGGAGTTAGCGTTAATTTGGAAGCATGACCCATTTAAACATTTTACTACAAGTATGTGCACTTACTTTACTGTCCCCACATCATTGATGCCTATGGGGGAACCGAAACAATCAGTCACATTTAACTGTGGAAGAACTACCTCCAGAAGTGTCAAAGAGTGTGAATGAATTAGTTGCATGAGTAGAAAAGCGCTCTATGAGAACAAGTCCATATACTAAACATAGCACAAATACTATGACTTGGCAAAAAACTACATTTAGCACTAATTCTATAACATAGCAGGAACACTATAATTTAGCAGAAGTACTACATTTGGCACAAATACTAGAATTGTACAGAACTGTAATGAATTAGCAGAAATATTGAACAAGGAAAACAGTAAGCTGAAAAAAGCTGCACAAGCTGAAGTCCTGTCAAAAGTAGTAGTTGTTGAATGGGGAGAAATTGGCAGAAAATGTACAGAGGTAAGAAAGCACCAGAAAAACGAAGCTAAACAGCCGGTAGATAGACCACATTCAAACATAAACACACACATACTATTAAATCTGATTCTTTTCTGGCAGAGAGACACGACTCAGTGTGGTCAAATCTAAAAAAAACAACTTTATTCTACATTTCCAGAAAAGGATGCTAGCAACCATCAACAGCTCGAAAAGCATTACAAGCCGAATGAATATATAGTTCTCTTATACGTTGCACACGATCACAACAACCCTGCCTAGTTTCACTTTCTGTCTGCAACGCTTCCTGATCTCTGCATAAAGTTTCCTGTCAGTACTTTTGACACACATTATGGCGTTCTCCTACTCTGGCCTCTATAAAACAATGTAAACAGAAAATAAGCACTAATAACATATATTTATTCTTTAACAACACAAACATACACACACAAGGATTTAAAGAGAAACACACACAGAGCATGGAGTGTCCTGTGTGTCTCTATGCCAGCCAATCAGTCTAAATAATAATAATAATAATAATAATAATAACATTAAATTCAGTTCTTTTGACTGGACTCAGAGTGGTCACAGCTCAAAAAATGATCTTTATTTTACATTTCCGGAAATGGAGACCTGAACACAAACACACAAGCTCAGGTCTGAATTCTTTGCCAGCTAAATCCGTATATAAATTTCTGCACTACGTCACACTGACACACAGTTTACTTAGTTTGTCTTGATGCATCTCAATCATCCAGGTAAGTAAATCTCCAAAAGTTGATTCTGTTCATCTGGACGCAGCGTTTTGTGGGAGAAACGTTTCGTCATCATCAGGTGACGTCTTCAGTCTCAGCTGACTGCAGGTTTCAATCTTATAAACAGGACATTTGCATAATGACTGAAACCACTGAAGGAACAATGGGCTGGGAGGTCAGTTCCTTCATCTTAATTATGCAAATTCTGATCAGTGGTCTTTGATCAGTGGGTTTCGTCGCGCCGTGGAGAGGCGGCTGCAGGAGACGCTTTTTAAATTTCCCTGGCTGGTTGACGATCTCAAACCAATGGTCATGAACTTCTTGCTCTCAACCCTCCACTCTCCTACTCAGGCTGCTCACCGGCCCAGACAGCCGGTGGATTCACAGCCTGACCCGACGTCTACACGGAAACGACGTTTGTGCCGCCGGGGCTCCTCACTGCAGCCGGATTCCCGGACATCTCAAGTAGGGGTGGGTTTTCATGATTGATTCATCGATTAAAATCGATTCTGGCTTGGATAACGTAAAATCGATTCATTAAAATCCTGAATCGATTTTTTAATATAAATTTATTTTGCCCGAAACGCCAGAATCTCAGGTTAAACCTCACAAAATTTCTACAACCACCAAACAGCTGAAACAGTAAATGAGAGCAGGTACACGGCTTCTGCACAAAGACGTGAACACAAACTGTTTACGGATCAGAATCGCCTTACTCACCCGACGGCACGGACACGGTCATCGGGTGAGAAAGGCGATTCTGATTCTGATGTGTCTTTTTGCGCTGATTCTAAAGCTGTTAGTTTGATGTCTCTCCAACAATATTGACCGAACCAGCAGCAAAAGAAGATCCAAACTACGCTTCACATAAACATCGTCATGAACTCACTCTGACTTTTACTGTTTTGCTTCCACCAGGATAAAATCACACTTCATGCACAGCTCTCTCTCTCTCTGTACTTCAAGAACAGTTTCCCGTCTAAAAATCTGTTTGCTTCATTATTCGCTTGCTTGTTACACACAAGTCTACAGTTGTTTACAGCGCTGTCAGCCGCTGCTCTCCCCCCTTTTTACTTACTACTTAAGAAAACCTCATTTCTGCTGTTCAATACTGAACAAATTTAAACTTTTTAAAATTATGCAAAACTGCAAAACCCTGTGTCTCTAAAACCTCTGTAACTTTGCTGTTTCACTTCAGCAGCATCAGGTAATGTTCATGTGTTGATCAATGACTTTCTTTTGATTTCGATCTACTGCAGAATATTTTTAAGGTCATCTGCTATAAAATCCAGGCCAGGAAAATCTCCTTCATGCTTTTGTTTTATCCTCAGCTTCTTTGACACAAAGGCCTCTGCTGTGATGCTCACACATTTGACAAGTCTCACAAGTGTCAGCTTTCTTTTATAGATATAAAAATATGGAAATGTACTGATGCATGTATAACAGTCGATCTTCTGTTCTTCGACTGCAGCTAGCTCAGAATGCTGCTGCACGCCTTTTAACTGGCGCTCGTAGATACGAGCACATCACCCCAGTTTTATATTCACTTCACTGGCTGCCCGTGCATTTTAGGATCCATTTTAAGCTGCTTTTATTTGTTTTTAAATGTCTGTCCAATGCTGCCGCTCTGTACCTCTCTGAGCTTCTTCATCCATACATACCTTCACGGTCCCTCAGGTCAGCAGACCAGCTCCTCCTGAGCGTGCCCAGGACTAATCGTGAGCTCAGAGGGATCGGGCGTTTGCTGTGGCAGCACCAAAACTGTGGAATGAGTTGCCTTTACATGTTAGACAGGACCTTCCTTATCTGTTTTTAATCACGTCTTAAAACATATTATTTACCTTGGCTTTTAGCACAGCAGGACTTGTTGATGTCTCTTAATATGTTTCTTATTAATTATATTATTTTTAATTTGAAGATATTTTATATGTAATTTAAACTGTTTCCTCTCCATTTTACATTTGTAGCACTTTGGTCAACATTGTTGGATGGAAAGTGCGTTATAAATAAAGATGCTATGCTGTGCCATCCTGTTACTTTACCATTATATATTTCACCAAGTAATTCTTCTCAGTCTCAGCTATGTTTCCTCGATTGAAAGCCTCTGATACCCAGCCACACAGGAAGCTTCTTTCTCACTGCTCATTTCAGCTAATTTGCATACTGAGTCATATCTCAGGAAGTTACCGTGACAAGAGATATTCAAATCTTACTACATTATTAAATTATTTTCTTCCTAGGGTAATCACTAGTTTTGCTCCATCGACACAAGAGCACTTCCAATTCACTATTTTAAAACTACTTTAAGCTTTTAATCACTTTTCATTTTCACCAACGTCACTCCCCTGTCATGAAACTTTCCTGAGTTATTCCTCAAGTTCAGGGTTTAAGTGTGTTCACACTACTTCAACACTGATAAACAGACTCACATGCTCAACATGCTGTCTAATCCTCATGAGCTCTCTTGTATTTGTAAGCTTAATGCATTTTTTGTTTGTGTGTGTGATTTTGTATATGTTTTCTTTTTGCAGTGTTTCAGACTCCTTCACAATTTTCCAACTTAAGCAGTCAGTTTTCTCTTTCCCAAGTTTACTAACCCAAATTGTGATTTCCCACCTTAAGTAACAGCATTCCTTATCTTCAGCCAGGAGAGCTCACTTGTCAGGTTTAGTGACACATGGCGCTGTAAACAATTCAACCAGAAACTTGGCCTGAACGTTTCAAGTAATGTTAACCTATAACTTTCTTCTGACCGCTGCATGTGGAAAATTGATCCAGGTCTGCTTTGCACCTAGAAATACCAAAACTGAGACATTTTCATTATTATCATCGGTGCTTAAATGACCCACTTCTCTCTCTCCGGCCCGAAATACCAATTTATTTCATGTATTCACCTTGCGTTCATGTTATCTGGTCATGTCAATTGAGTGTAAGCTGCTTCTTCATTGCATATGTATTTTATAATCAGGTTTAATTCATGCCTCTCTGCACTGAGCTCTGGATTCAAACGATCTCACTTCTGATTCTTTCCAAAAATAATTTCAAGGTCAAGGTCAAATTTATTTCTATAGCACATTTCAAACAGCTGATGCTGCACAAAGTGCTTAACAATATAAAAATGGTATTAAAAAGCAACAATGTAATACAATAATAACAATAAAAAACAATAATAGGTCAATAAAAAAATGTAAACAATAACTAAAACTAATTCAAATAAGAGCAAAATGCTTGGGTCATAGTGTGTTAAAAGCCAGGGCATAGAAATGTGTCTTTAGTAAAGATTTAAATTAATGAAGTGTTTGTGCAGATCTAATATTTAAGGGGAGACTATTCCAAAGTCTGGGACCTGCCACAGAGACGGATCTATCACCACAGGATTTGAGATTAGTCCGTGGGATGGACAGCATTAGTTTTGAGGTAGACCTCATGGTTTTTCCTGGAGCATAAACAGAGAGGAGCTCAGACAGGTAAGGAGGGCTCGGGCAT